GTAGAAGTGAGCCCTAGTGTAAGAGTAAACCCCTAGATTCCGTCATATGTGACGTGTACACTCCATATGTAATCTCCCCCCTTCATTTGTATAGACAACATATTGCCGTATGATGCCTGGCTGAGAAAGATAAGCCATATACTTATCCTTCCCAAATCACTGTCACCTACCACTCGCGACTTCATGAAAATCACCCACTTGAGGAACATAAAAACAGGTATTCATTATCATTAAAATTAATAGTATCCACTAGCTCTGGCTTTAATTCGACGCAGAGCACAAGAGGAGCTCGGCTCCAATCATCAAGAGAACTTTTTGATCGATACAATCCCATAAATCTCTTCGCTTCCGCTCCATCAACAACAACCACCTCTTCTTCTTCTCTGACCTGTCAGCGTAAAAACCTCCTCCCACTCCCTCATTCCCCCAAGTCCCCAATTTTGCCCTCTCTTCCCTTTCCTTCTCCTCCTCGTAATGCCATCTTCAATCGTCATTCCACTCTTCACACTGGCTCCATCACTAGCATTTGTATCCCATCTCCCTCCATCACCATACTGTATTCCGCTCATTGGATCATCGGGATCAATTTCTCCCAACTCAATCTTCGTCAATATCATCCTCGCCAATCTATTAAAAACCTCCTCAACATTATCACCCGATAATGCAGAAACCTCGACCGAAACCGGTATATTTGCAGAACTAGCCCATCTAGATGCTTCTTCCGCACTAACATCTCTTCCATCTGGCGCTACACTTGCTTTTAATTGTGATCCTATCCCCACATATCCCGAAGTCGAATTCACAGATCCGCCCGCCGAAAAAGGAAACGAGGAATTCTTGCTATTAATACTGGATGGTGTTGCGGGGGGCACAGATGTATCTATTAAATCTGCATTCGAATCCGCGAGATCCGTCTTGTTGCCCACAAGTAATAGTGTAAGATTTGGAGAAGCAAGTGCTCGCGCATCATTAAGAAAGGTAGGGAGTCCGGTAAAGGAATTATGGTTCGTGATATCGTAACATAGAACTGCGCCAGCGGCGCCACGATAGTAAGAGCGTGATACAGAGCGGAATCGTTCTGTCCCTGCTGTATCCCATAGCTTTTGTATGATTAGCTCTTAGCTTGGAGGGGGCAGCAAGAAGAGGAGGGGGATGGGAATACCTGGAGTTTAATGCGCTTCCGTCGAGAGCCACTACCCACTCTTATAATCTTGCTTGCGAATTCCACGCCGATAGTTTGGGATGACAAGATCCTCCATTCGTTTTTGACAAACCGATGTAATAGACATGATCTGTGCGACATCAATATCATATTCATATCAATCCAACCATAAACATCCCACTCATCACGAACAAATAGAAAATGTAACATACTTGCCACTTCCACTTGGTCCTAAGAGTATAATCTTAGCCAAATAATCGTACATACTACCTAATTCCTGAAGGTCCATTAGTATTTGTATGCAATGTCTTTCATTTTGTCTCAAGCTTGGTATATCTTCATGTTGGCTTAGCAATGAAGGTATGGAAAACAAACCTGATCTCTGGTAGTACTGGCACTCTCATCACTTGCGGCGGATGAACGCCTTGGTCGTACCATCTTCGCCTATGGGTGGGATTACGATAACGGGTTCAATTTTTTGTTGTTCAAGACACAGAAGGTCGAGATTCTTTGGAAGTTGTTTGATATTTTTATAATTTGGAATTTCTTGATTTCCTTCAGTAATTAGAGACTACAATAGGACGTGACATCAAAGTCGTCGCAAGTCTTATCGCATCGGTGTTGAGCCAATCATTTCCCGACGCTAGACTGGTTTGGATTGGCTTTATATAGATTAGAGGGATTTGATAAGCCGAGGCATGTGATGAGTGAGGCATGAGGAAGAAGAATAGTTTCGTGAATGTCCAGAAATCTTCTTTTACATATACTATTCAAATATTATCAAAATGAAGATTGAAGGAAGAACATTCATTGTATCAGGCGGGTGAGTGAAATCATGTAACTATGAATGAATCAAACGTTACTAACAAGACATATAGAGCTTCAGGCTTAGGCCGAGCATGTGTTGTTGATATCTGCCAAGGTGGAGGATATGCAGCTGTCCTAGATATGAATGAAGAGTTGGCTGAAGAGTTGGTAAAGGAAGTAGGAGGTGGAAAGGTCAAATTCTTTCAAACAGATGTATTGGAAACAGATAGTATCGCCAATGCTGTTAAAGGTGCTTTGGAATGGGTCAAAGAAACTGGAAAGGAGGTTGGTGGAGTTATTGCAGCAGCTGGTGTAGCTACTCCTGCTAAGGTATGTTTTCAATCTTTTGTTTTTCAAACAATATTCTATTCATATAGGATTACCTTTGAAGTGTTACTGGCTGTATACTTTTCCCATCATGGTAGTTTCTCATGATTGCTCTTGCGTCGACCACACGCAACCTCCAGCGAAGATTTCTAAGACTTTCTCTTAACATCCCCTTTTGATATTTTCCTTCCCCAAACCTCTCCCAATTTCCCTTCTCATCATTCAAACTACTCTATTGTGGTCCCCTTTTCACCCGGAATGCAGAGTTACTAACACCCCACCTCCCCAACCTCAGATCCTCGACCGCAACCTCAATCCCTTCTCTCTCTCCGACTTTGATTTCGTGATGAATGTCAACGTCCGCGGCACTATTGATTTGATTCGTCAATGTCTTCCCCACATGGCTCGTTCTACCCCTTTGAATGAAGATGGTGAGCGTGGTGTTATCATTATGGTTGCTTCATCTGCTGCCTTTGATGGCCAGCCTGGTCAAGGTACTTCTCCCTTCATTCTGTTCTCCCAACTCTCATATCATTCTGAATTCAAGAGAGATTCAAGATGCTAACAGACACATAGTCGCCTACTCTGCTTCAAAGGGCGCGATAGTCTCCTTAACCCTCCCCTTAACCCGTGATGTCGCAAAACATGGTATTCGCGTCGTAACCATAGCACCCAGTCTTTTTGATTCAAGAATGACGGCTATGATGAGTGATAAAGTGCGAGCGAGTTTGACTAGAGTTATGGAGTTTCCACGTAAGTTTTTCTTCACGTCTCTCTATTTTCGGAATATCTCCCTCTCATATGTTGTATTCCACACGTTGTTTCTCCCCCCTCCCTTAATATAAAAATTCGAATAAACGAGTTAATCATAAGAAAATAAATAGTACGACCAGGCAAACCCCACGAATTTGCACAACTGGCAAGACAAAGTATTGAGAATGTGATGTTGAACGGAGTAGTTTTGAGATTAGATGGAGGAATGAGGATGCCGAGTAAGATGTGAGGTTTGGGTGCACTTTTGTGTGGGTTCTGAATTTATATCATGGGTCTGGATTCGAAAGTTTGACAGGAAGTCGCAAAGGTATTATTTGACGGATTATAATTTGTAGTACGCAGTAACTGTAAATCGTATTGCATTTATCTAGAACACCTGTAAAGATTAAATTATAAGAGTGTTTGTAAGGCCAATATTTCAAAATTCTGAGGACGACATATACAATTACCATATGGAGATTGCAGTATCAGAATCAAGAATTCATCTACCATAATGGACTACACTGGAATAGACCAGCGAAGTTGCGAATCATCGTTGGTGAGAAAACGAGCAAGAAATAAATTTGCATAGGTAAGTTCACGATGCAGGGTAAACTTAGACAGGATGTGTGAACTATCCTCTCATGATATATAATATAGATGATAGTTAGTGAAGGTTCTCCTTACTGACATAGTTTTTTGAGCTTCTAACAAGCTTTGTATACATTGCATATAGTACCAACAAGTAGTCGTTTCAAAAGTGTAAATTGAAGAATGACGTAATGTATCAATATATCGAACGAGCATGAAGTTTCGATCCGAGATCCGTGCAATATGATAGCAAAAGAAATATAAGGTCAGGAGTTTAAATTGTTTACCCTTTTCGAATGCCACCAATAAGTCGCACATTAATTCACATACAAATTCATATCAGGATAATCAAGCTTCTAGTAGAATCCCCCAAAAATCATCATTTCATCTCATCTCATCTAAAACTTCAATGTCCCCTGTCTTGTTTCATCCCATCGGCGCCTGTACCGATTATCCTAGTATCAACCTACCAATCGCATACACATCACTCCACAATTCCATCCAACGGGTATCATGAATGGGGAAACTCATCCGAATGAACTTGGGTTTGCAGTTTGAAGTATATTAATTGGCGGTTCCTCAATTTCAATGGAGGGGACTCCTGAATGTTTTCTTTCGTTTTCTCCTAAGAAAGTATTGTTTTTCGATTGATTCGATTGTTTTCGCATACACGCCGTTAATAGTTCCAGACTTGGCGTGGCGCTTTGCTTCAACTTTAGGCACTCTATCCGGATCTCGTAGTTCGTTTTGGTGATAGAGCCCCAGTCATCGTTCGGGTGACGGGGGTGTTGCGACTACAAAGATTGGATCGTGCATGGATGGAGAGGCATTCGGAAGTGAAGGTTAATATATCTGCATCCAGACCTTTCATCTTTTTGGGTTTGGTTTCTGTCCCAATAGTGGTTTATTGCAGGAGTTTTGAGATGAACAGGATTGAGTCAATGGGTCTACGCTGTATTGAGTTGAATACATGTGGTGATGGTCCACTGTCCACTCCTCTTTTTCATAAACGAAATTTAGATGGCTTGCATTGATTGTTTGCATTGATTGTTTGGAGGTTTGACAATGGGAGGGGAGGATTTCATATAAGTAGGTTTTCTTTCTGATAGAGAAGAGGAAGTTCTACTCTCTTGTTTCTTCAACATATCTTTCCTCGTTCAACTCTTCTATCGCAAATACATTCTTTTCTGGTGCAAAGTCGCCTCTCACATTCATTCAAATCAAATTTTATACATTCATTCATCCAGCTAGTTCTGGTAGATTTCGCTCCATTCATCTTCATCGATTCGTCTCTCAAACTTCAAGTCCTCTCCCAATCAAGAAATTCATTATCTCGACGATAAACAAAATCTTTTTCAAAATGCAATACACATCCACCATCCTCATGGCCGCTGGCCTCATCACTTCCGTCTCCGCCCACGGTCGTATCCTCACCCCAACTCCCCGTAACCCCGGTGCCGCCATGGCATCCGCCTGCGGACAACAAGTCGAGGTAAACCAAGCCTCCGACCCCAACGGAAACATCCAAGGCATGCTCCAAGTTGCCGCCAGTCAAAGTGACTACGATGCCGCCGCATGCAACATCTGGCAATGCAAGGGTTACAAATATGCCGACAACACTGATCTCGTGCAAAGCTGGACTGCAGGCCAAGTCGTTCCTTTCACTTTCAATGTTGCGGCTCCCCACACCGGTACCGCCAACATCTCCATTATCGACACCGCCGCTAACACCGTCATCAAACAATTGTTGTACTATGATGTCTTCGCAAGCACCGCCACCGGTGTCACCTCCAACGAAACTAGCTTCAGCATCACCATTCCAGATGATCTCCCAAGCACCTGTGCTACCCCTGGTGGATGTGTTGTTCAACATTGGTGGGATGCTGCTTCCATCGACCAAACCTACGAGTCTTGCGTTGATTTCACCGTCGGTTCCGCATCCGGATCTGGATCTGCCTCTTCCGCAGTCGCTTCTTCCGCCGTCCCAGCATCCACCGCCGCTGCTTCTTCTGCTGTTGCCGCTTCATCTTCTTCCGTCGCCGTTGTAGCATCCAGCTCTGTCGTCGCTTCATCCGTTAGCTCCGTTGCCGCCATTGCTACCTCCGCCGCTGTTTCCAGCGCCGTCCAAACTACTACTTTTGCCTCTCTCCCCACTACTTTGGCTACTGTTACCAAGGCAAGCAGCACTTCCAGTGCCGCTGCCGTGGCTACTTCTGCTGCCCCAGAAGAGGATGACGATTCCTGCGATGCTTAAGTGCTGTTTGAGTAGAGTCCTAAATGTGTTTTTGTATATTTAGATATGAGAATAGAGGCAAAGGATAGATGAAAGAAGGAGAGTTCAAATTTTTTCTTGTATATAGATAGATGTTGATCAATGAAAGATGTTTCGATTGCAATCAGTGTGGAATATTTTGAAGTGATATATCTAGAGATCTTGCACGTGTGAGGAAATATCGTGGTATCTTCATTCTCTTACGCGTATCATACCACCATCTCTCAAATAAATAGCAAAACGAAAGATTCGAGAAATGAATAGCTTGAAATCCGGAAAGATGAAGAATACGAGATCTATCCATCGATGAACAACTTCGATAATACCGAAAGACTAAGAGTATGGATACCCACGAACTAGAAATCACATATAGGCACTGGGTAAATAGTTTCATTCTCTCTCGTTTCCAATGCGATGATTCAATACTCCTTGATATTGATATTGATATCGATATTAATAAACGAAACTTTTCCACATGAAAAGAACTTCATTTCCCAGACTGAATGGATATCGCATCTCCTCATTTTTTTAGATACTCTGTAATAACAAAATAAGATAGTTGATAGTTGATAGTTGATAGTTGATAGTTGATAGTTGATAGTTGATAGTTGATAGTTGATAGTTGATAGTTGATATTTGATATTTGATATTTGATATTTGATATTTGATATTTGATATTTGATATTTGATATTTGATATTTGATATTTGATATTTGATATTTGATATTCGTTTGAGCTTGTGTGTAAATAAACATAGGTATTGAATTTTCGAATTTTCGAATTCTTGAATGCTGGATATTTGGATATTGGAATATTTGGATATATATCCACCTACCTAGTATTTATCTATCTACTCACTTACTGACCCACTATATGCTATATACAATAAACACCTTCATAGACAGACACCACGAAACAACTTTTAAATGAAGAATTTACATTTTTCTATTCCTGAGTATTCGTGTATTTCCCGAGTATTCGCAGGTTTGGGAGTAGGAGAGAAATTATGGGATGTGGTGGAAATGGAGGTGGAAATGGAGATGGAGATGGAGATGGAGATGGAGATGGAGATGGTGATGGTGATGGAGAGGGAGAGGGAGAGGGAGGGAGTTTGTAGGTAGCTGAGTTATGTGTTGTTTGGATTTGAGAATGTTTAAAAGGTACTGGTACTGGTACTGGGTAATTGTAAGATCTTATTCTTTTGCGCTCGGTTTGGGGATGATCTTGAGAAGGATTTTGAGGAATCTTATGGTTTGATTTGATTGTAGTGTTAGACTTGCAATTGTTTTTGGATATTGGTATGGCTATCTTTATTTATATTCCCGAGTCTCCTTATAAAATCAGATTCTTCTTCATGTGTTGGATGGGTGTCTTGATTGCTTTTCTGAGGTATGTTCCTCAATATAATACAATATCATAGTATTCCTCCCTTCTATTCCATTCAGTAAAAATGGAAAAACATTCTTGTATTATATATTACTCCGTACATATCACCATAGATTAATCACAATTCCCAATACATATTCTGTGAATCAAAGGATCTAGAGTCTAGACCAAAAATACCTACCTACGTACCTAGTATACAATGGTACCACGAGCAGCGAGCGGTAAGCCTCCAAGGACCGGGACCGAATTGCTTGGATGGTCGGATATTGCAGGTGCTGCAAACCGCCGAGGTCAGCATGCTACAATGTTGGATGTGGGATATTTCTAGGTACCTAGGAGTTTGAGAACACGCGTCATGTGGTATTCCAGATTTCCTGATCATTACTCACGCATACCAGTCATCATTGATGAATGGATGAATCACTATGATGAAATATCTTCCAAAACCGAACAATAAAGAATTAGATAATAGGGGCACCGGGGCCATCTATCATCACCAGCCACGCCAGCCACGATTATAAAATGATAAATCCCGAGGTAATAACGGATTCAGCCCTGTTTTATTGGTTGGTTCTGGTTTTTCTTTGGAATGTTCTATGGATGGATACTCGACTTGTCTAGCTGGTTCCTATCTCGAGCCTATTTAGAATGACTAATTGGGTGGATACCTCCAGCTAACCTTGGAATGGATGGATGCAAAGGTGTACGTATGTGGCTGTGCTGAGCTGTGGCGTAAATGGCCTGGGTGTTCAATGTGATCAATTCGTACATTAGCGTTTCGTTGGCGCTGGCGTGAAGTCTGGATGGGCGGATGGATGGATGAATGTACGCAAGCGCTGATCTTTGGGATGCTATTTTCCTTGTGATGAGATGAGATGAGATAGATAGGTAGTGAAGTGAATTGATGGAAGAGTTTATCTTGATAGATGTTGTGGCTTATGGAAAGATGGGGATGATTGATTAGCATTGTACTTTTGAGATGAGATTTTGAACTTTGAGCATGCCGGATGGTGAAGGACGTTGCATACTAGGTAGGTATCTGATGTATCATATTGGATGCGTATGGAACATGAACGACATTGATACTTGGCAACGAGCATAATCGTCCATGCTTTGGAAATGTCTGATTTTTGACGTGACTTGGCGTGGGGGAAGGACTGGGAAGGACTGGGCTTTGATATGGTTCATTGCTTAAACTGGTAGGTACGAATCTTATGTGCTTTCCTAGATAGAGATGAGATTGATGAGGTGTGAAAGAGTTGTCTGGAGATTTGATGATGGTGAATTATGATTACGCTTGATGGATACTAGGTAGATAAGAAAGATTGAATTCGGATGTCTTTAGTTACCAAGTATCAATTGTAATCCATCACATATGAATATCTCATCGATTACAATTTACTCGACATTGTGTTTCTACCTTTTACTCTTGACTTTCTACTTCTTATCAGATATCAAATCCGTTCCCTCGTGATTCAAATACCTGTACCTGTACCTGATCTACGTGCGTAACTTAACTGCCGGCAGTTAGTCACTCTCGCCATCCACGGATCAACCGCTTGTATCGGTCGGGAGGGTTAATTGTCGTACCCGCCACTATTAAAGTCTTCGGGAAGAGAACCGAGGACGAATCGTGCATCGTCAAAGTATGAATAAGGAAAATCGGCAGAGTATGTATGGATTGTTTTTTATGATCTCGTTTCTATTTCTGTATATTGTCAAGTGATTTTCTATTGATATTCAAGTGATTTCTTATTCCACATATCCCTATGTGTCTTGCATATGATCATAAGGCAGTACCTAGGTACATACTAGTGACATCAAACCAAGCTTTCACCCAAGTATGGGGAAAGAGATTAGCATAAGTGGTCAGCCACTCTCGAGATAAGATAGGAGGATATATGAATCAGGAGAAGTCTGAGTGGTCGTGGGATAATTGATGATGAAGGTTTGAGTAACGGAAGATCTTCGTACGAACTAATCGGCGTTGAGTAAACATTGGAGATACTCGATTGAGTAATTGATCGAGTGATACCAATATATGGTTGATTATGATATGGGAAGAGATCCTTACCAAACACTTACTTGAATAATGCAAGTCTTTCTTCCCCCTCTTGCGAATTGAAGTACTTCAATGCTAAAGTAAAGTATCCATCACATCAACCTCTGAGCACCTGACCTCAACATCAATATCAAATTACTGCGCCACATCTATTTATTCCCATAATTCACAAATCCAGCAAATCCAGCAAACCCTCACAGATTCCCATCTCATCCAATCAGACAATAGAGAATATACAATTCAAAATGAAGTACATCCAATCATATTCCTTTCTCCCGAGATATTTCTCCGCTACTTGGCAAATCCACTACTTGGAAAGTTCAGCCTTGGCAAACAGCAAACCTTGAATAATCCCTGGAAATCTTCGCCTTATCAACTTGCAGGGAGAGAGGGAGAGACTTTCACTTTCACCGTATCCCAATTCCCCATCCATCCACCCCCCAATCTTTCCCAGTCATTACTACCCTTTTGTTATAAACATCGTTACACCTACGGGTATATGAACAAACGTCCTCTTCCTTTTTTTGATATCAATCATCAAGCATCAAAACATCTTTTGTTTTTGGCTCTTACGTGTTCTTCTCTCTTCAAATAAAACACACACACACACTTCTTCTCTCTTCACTCCATTTCCCTAATCTAATAGCAAATTCATCTTTGTCTCTTCCTTCAACTCAACCATACCCGCGTTTGTTTCTCAGTTGAACAAATTAATCCTCAAATTCTTATTTATCTGATTCTACATCGATGAAGGAAACTTCGTCTAATTCGCCGTCATTTCTAGATCGTGTGAGCTTTTGGGATAAATCCAAGGCACATGGCAACCCTACGACCTCGTCAGATCTGAGTGGACCAACTCTTCCCTTGAGCAATCCTTCTACTACCACCACGCAGAATAACAACAACAACAACACTGCTACCTCCGTTCTTAACAATGCAACCCATACCCCAAGAAATAATGCAAATTATAATGGCCTCAAGAACCAACGTTCAAATCCCACAAGAAACAATGTGGCAGACAATACATCCAACGTCCATCCGCCACCAGCTCCACCTCCGCAAGTTGATGGAGAGGGGAATATCATAGAATCGAGCGAGTCCGAGAAGCTCAAGAAGAAAAATGTTGCCATTCGATTTTGGCTGACCGGCAAACATATTATACTCTCAAGTGTTATCAATATTTTGTTGGTATTTGTACCGGTTGGTATCATCGCCTATGCGATTGGCCTCAGTCCAGGTATCATCTTTGCGATGAATGCTATTGCTATTATACCTTTGGCAGGTTTGCTCAGTCATGCTACTGAAAGTGTGGCTAAAAGAATGGGTGATACTATTGGTGCTTTGATGAATGTTACTTTTGGTAATGCTGTTGAGCTTATCATTTTGTAAGTTTCTCTCCACATCTTCATTTGAATACAGAATCAAGCTAACAATTTCAATAGTATGTATGTCTACCTCGTGAGAGATCAAGACAAGAAAGTGCGAGAAGCCCTCTTAAAGGCATTATCATATCAATCGCGTCCCATATCATTATACCCTTTCCATTTCCCTTTGTCTCATGCAAGTCCCTTGTGAAATATTCGTTCAAAACATATGCTCACCTATTTATCCTAAACCCTATAGCATTGCATTGCAAAAGGTTTGTAAATTCCTCCTCTTCGGTGCGAATTATGCTAACGTTCAGCAGAATGAAATCCGCATCGTCCAAGCCTCCTTGCTCGGTTCGATTCTTGCAAATCTACTCTTGATTCTAGGAATGTGTTTTTTGGTCGGTGGACTTCGCTTCCGTGAACAGGTAATTGATTCTTCATCCAAAAGTTGTGAGCAGCGCTGATATTTTCTAGATCTATAACAGTACTGTCACACAAATGAGTGCTTGCCTTTTAAGTTTGAGCGTCATGAGTTTATTGCTTCCGGTATGAAAACTTCTTCCTGTGGCGTAAACTGTTAACTGACGAATATAGACTGCTTTCCATGCATCGTTCAATACTACAACTGCTGCAGATAAGGCTAACACCAAAGTTTTGCAAGTTAGTCGTGGTACTAGTGTCGTAAGTTCTCCATGATTCTGTTTGTGAGACCTCGTTGACTAACATCTTTAGGTTCTCCTTTTGGTTTATGCCATGTACCTCTTGTTTCAATTGAAGTCCCACGCATATATGTATGAAAGTACTCCTCAGCATATCATTGATGAGGAATTAGCTCCTGGACCGGTTGCAGCTTGGATGGACTCATCATCTGATGATTCATCCTCCTCCAGCTCTGACTCTGATGGCTCCAGCGGTTCCAATACTACTGCCAAACGTGTAAAGAGACTCATCAGAGGTGGTAGACGTCGCAAGTCAAGCTCAGCATCGAAAGATACTGTTGAAGTAGAGGCTCTTCGTACACCATCTTTTGGTAATAGCAGTCTCAACCATGCAGCTGAAGGTAGTGGGTCCGCTGGTGATGATCATCGTACAGGCGCTATTGACTTTGCAGAGGATGGTGATGATGAACGTCCTAGAAGAAGTCGCACTGGCTCATTCACAAACTACGTCATGACCAAAAAGGAACATAAGAGAGAACGCAAGCAACAGAAAAAGGAACACAAAGCCCGCAAGAGAGCTCTCAGACATCAAGAAACCATCAAAGAAGGCGTTGTACCTGAAGTTGTCAATGAGAAATCTGCTGAAGTGGTACCAAATGATTCCGATCCACGACGTGTTGATTTTGCCATTATGGAAAATCCTGAAAACCAGCAAGATAACGCTCAAAAACGACCATTTACTCTTCGCGGAATCACCTCTGGCATTCGACCTCAAATTCCAAAGACATTCTCTCAAAATGTCTTTACTAATCCTGCACCTACTGGTACTCCACCCCCTGGAAATATTCCTCGCGTTCGTATGGGAATTCGTCGCACGAATTCTTTACCTGATCGTCTCAATCAAACCGTATCAAATCCAGCTAATCCCACCCCATCAAACCTTGCACCTATTCGCATTAACAGCACAGCTGTTGCAGTCAATAAGGTTCCCATGGATGATGAGGACGAAAATATTTCTCGCACTACAGCCGTCGTTTTACTTCTTCTTTCTACTGGTCTTGTAGCTTGTTGTGCCGAATTCATGGTTGATAGTATCAATGCTGTCGTTGAAGGTAATTCCGGTTTGAGTGAGGCTTTCATTGGTCTCATTATCCTACCTATTGTTGGTAATGCTGCCGAGCACGTTACAGCCGTTACGGTAGCTAGTAAGAATAAAATGGATTTGGCAATCGGTGTAGCCGTTGGTTCATCTATTCAAATCGGTACGTTTTTCAATCACCATAATTGACACCACTTTAACTAACTCATCATGATAGCTCTCTTCGTCACTCCCTTCATCGTTCTCCTCGGCTGGTGTATGTCTCGAGAAATGACATTGTACTTTACGCTCTTTGAAACCGTCTGTCTCTTCGTCTCGGCCTTTATCGTCAATTTCTTGGTTCTCGATGGTCGATCCAATTACCTCGAAGGTGCCCTTCTTTGCGCAGCTTATGTCATTATCGCCGTCGCGGCTTTCTTCTATCCAGCAGAAGGTGATCAGAGTAATTTGGGCGGAAATTCTGATGCGGCGAAGATGTTAGTGAGAAGTATTGTGGGAATTTAATCGCGATGATGATGTATGGAGGCGGATTGGGATGGAATGGAATGGGTGATGGTTTTATGGTGGAATGAGATGGAGGGGGTTTTTTTTCACGATGAAGGTGGATTCATATTATGATTGAGATGTTATGATGGATGATGGATGAATGGTGGTGGGTAATGATTGATCGAATGATACTTTTTTCTCTTTCGCTTCTTGAGCTGGTTTGGTGATTGATGGAATTGCTTTGGTGATTGATTGATGAACGGATTGATGAACGGATTGATGGATTTATGAATCGAGTTTTCGCTCGAGGACTTTCTTTCCTTCTTACTTACTTTCTTTCTTTCTCGATCAGAATTGATATTGGATAGCTAGCTAGCCAATTTCTTCCTCTCTTCCTCTTCCTCTTCATCTAACTTCTTCACGACCAGTACTCCTACTCCTACTCCCACAGTAGATAAGTAGATAGTCCAAACGCCGAAGAATACTTAACTTGAACTTTTCTCTCTTTTTCCCATCAATTTTTAATTATCTAATTAGCTAGCTATGATGCAATACAATGCAATGCAATGCAATACTATTTCTATTCTATTCAATTCGCTTCGCTTTACTTCTTATATATATATATATATATACCTACGTTTATGTAGTATATATCTTAAGATTGCGATTTGGTTTGATATGATTTGATTTTGATCTCAATCTCAATCCCAATTCCAATTCATACACCATCACTTAAAAGAAGTCTATATATCCTATATCTTATATCTCACATCATACGAGGGATTAAATAATCAACTTACTATATACGAATCTTTAGATTGTTATGTTAAGGTACTTACTTGTATAAGCTGATATGATCTGGGGAATATGAATATGTTATTCTGTTGTATCATATCATACCCCATTATATCATATCATATCATATTCTCATACTATTATAACTCAACTCTCAAAACTCCTAAGATAAACATCTCGCGTCTCACCATCTCCTTTCTCCCTTCCCCCCATCCTTCCCCTTCCTCTCCTCCTCCTCCTCCCCAACCCAGCCCAGCCCCCCTCACATAGTAGGACAATCCCCCCCTCCCCCTCCCCCTCCCCCTCCCCCTCCCTCTCCCCCTTTCATCAAAGCCTTCACAACACTCTCCAAATTCACACCCTGCCCCTGCCCCCCCACTCCCTCCCCCCCCTTCCCCACCGCCCTAACATGCGGCAACGAATCAGCAAATTCCTCCAGCGCATCCTCCCTCACCCCATTCGGATAAAACCCCTTCCACAATTCCCAAAACGACTTTTCAAAAATCTCCTCGTCAGAAGCCTCCGGGTGCGCCGCAAGATATGCCAGAATCGAATTATCCAAAGCCGAGATCTGCCGCTCGTATTCTTCCGATTCCAACTGTGCTTGCGTTTTGACCGGCGGCGGTTCGGTGCGCATTGCGTATTCCTTGGCGCTTTCGTGTCGCCCGTCAGCATACGTGATACCCGTGTCCCCCTCGTCCAGCGCTTCCAGATCAGTTACCATATCGTCGTCATCCCACTGATTGAAAATTGGGATAATCAGCCATCAAATCTCAATGTATCTTGCGACTTCCAAAAAAGCACACAAGTAAATGGGGGAAGACGAGCAGTCAAGAATATAACTTGAGCAAAGCTAGGGGAGTTCAAAAGACGATTTACTCACCTCACACAAAGCCTCATATCCCGCATCCCAATCAATCAGTGATCGACCTTTGGGCAGAATAATATCTCTTAGGCTTGTTCCACCACTGGTGAGTTCTTTGCATTCCGTAGTAGTTAGTGGTAAGCGACGGATGATGCCCTTTGGAGCCCAACTAAAATGAACACTGGTTAATTTCAGATCTCACAAAGTATATTGTCACTCACGTAAGTACTAATCGAATAGAAGCCAAAACCTGTATCAAATCTTCAACTTCTTTCTTGGTCATCAAACCTAGTCCAACCATGCTCGCTACTCCATCACCCTGTTTGACATCGGCGTTGAACAAAGTAAGGAAGGTCTCAATGTCGACGTCCCAGAAGACAGAATGTAGCCATATCTGATCCAAAAATTGCTCGTATTTTTTCGAAAGAGCGTCCATAGCGATGCAAAGTCTCATACCTTTGAGGAGGTTCTTCATAAAAGTTGCATCCCCTGTATCGATTGCCTTGAAGCGTGGAAGATCCGTCTTGGGCCAGCTTGAAGCATGAAGTTGGATGGAGCCACGATAAGTCGAGATGTCACGAATTCTTCCATGCGGCTGGAACCTTACACACCATTAGCATCTACGCCTGATATGGGAGTCAAATAAATTACCTGAAGAGATACGGGACGGCCTCGCAATGAAGAAGATACGCACGCCATTCTTTGGCACTAATTTCCAGCCCACCAAGTCGCAAAATATAATCACGCTGCGTATATAATTAGCTTCACGCCACCGTCAAAATTGTGATCAACGGCCCAAGACTGAGAGTCATTCTTACCAAAGTATTCTCAGGCATGGCAAAACACATTGTGTGCAGGGCCAACTCTCGACGATTATTGATTAAATACCTGCTAATCTCGTCGAACCGAGGACAAGGCGGTAAATCTGGATCTAAGAATTCAGAAAGCGATTCCATTTGTGGGTTTCTTTCCTGCGTGCGCCTTGGCCCTCGGAAAGTACGAGCCTTTCGCACGACGGCAGCTGGGGCGGTTGGGACCCTTCCTCGCTTGCGAGGGGGCTCTGAAGTATCCATTGTCTCCGATCTTAACATGGTATGTTGATTATTGTTTGGTATGCCCTCAAACTCGGTGAACGGATCCCTGGTATCAGCGAATCTCGTACCGTCTTCCTTGAGATCAGTCTTTGTACCTGTAACCTTTTTATATTTCACAGTTTCGGTTCCATATCTGTTGATCTCAGCTTTCCGCTCATAGTAACGACTTTGGAGGAAAAGTAACTTGGACTCACTTCCTCACAAAATATTCGAATCTGCTTTTGCTTCCCATATCCACTAAAATGTGTCAACATGTTGACGATTTATCAACCCGTTAATGGGACCGAGCCATGTAAATTCAAGGGAAAAAAGATCAATCCCAAATCATGTAATTCATTGTGTCGCGATGAATAAAAGCAGTTCAGTACTTACTATACCAAGAAATAGAAACCGGCCAATATATAGCTGTATAAAAGTCCTATATGATTCGATACTAAATCAGCACTGCCAAAGTACATCATGCTTCATTGAATGCGGGAAGAAACAGCTCGAAGGGATAGAGTAATCACCGGCGGTTTGTTGTGTAGGACTGGGTTCCCTTCATTACCATGAGTGCCGACGTTGTTGATGTCACTGCTTTGAGTAAGACGAAAGGAATGGTTATTGTTAGTACTGGCTGTTGCTTACTTAAACATGACTCCCCCCTCTACGATGAGTTAGCGTGATGTGATTATGGCCATTGAAATATACTTTTTGGCCAGGAACCATACAGACTAGGATATTGGATTGCATGGGGATATGAAATATGCTTACCCAAATCGAGCAGCGAATCATCTTGTGCACTACGAAGAGATCGTGTAGTCCCGCCATATACCTGAATTGAGATTAATATACTTGCTCATATTTCCCTCGGCTAGGAATCCACCTACACTCTGCTCCATCTAGAAGTAAATGACAACACATCAGTATTCTGTAGCTACTAGCATCCAGCAAACACTCACCGATATCCCCCTAGAATAATTAGTAAAAGCTCAAAGTGAGTAATGATACACTTACATTTCCGAAATTACTTCCTTATGAAAATATATCTCCGTGCCATTATGGTTGGGCAAATAGGCTTTGTAAGTTTGCTGGAAAAGGGCATGCTATAATAAGTTAGAACAAGACGAAAGACTTCCAAATCGAGACTTTAAAAAGATAACGTACACCAAGCTCATGTATGATGGTCTTTGCAACTTCTCCTTGAACCATACGTCTTTCTGCAGTATTCAATTTTTCGACCGTTCCAGGAAGCAAAGCTGCAAGGGCATGGAAACTAATGGTTACAACAGAAATATTGCTTATTGCGCTGGTTAACGTTTGTCCAGCGATACTTCCAAGCTTGTGATCTACTGCTAGAACACCATTTGCTGGATCGGTATAAGAACTTGTTAGGCGGAAATATATATTCTTAGAATGGCTCAATATTGTGTCTCGGACTTTTCTTCTACCTGCTTCAGTTCCACATACTAGAGGATCTCTAGCATTGAATCGTTTCCAGCCTGAACGTGGAGTCATCAAGGAGAAGGGAACCTCTGACGGTGGAATGTCAGTCCACTCGGCGGCAAGCAGACCATCAAACCTATACATGCAAACTTAATCGTGAACCAAATAGAACTGGGGGTATAATTACCATGGCCACAAATCCGCATGCGAGATATACAAGCTTGCTATTCTAATAGATGGAAGTACGGCTTCCCACGCAGTATCATCCGTACCCTGCCGTCGTCATCAGAACCACCAATTGCACTCGCCATAGGAAGTCTTTCACTTACAGCATTCCAGTACCCATCCAAGTCTCCTCCCAAAGGAAAGTCGGCTAAGTGATTTGGCAACGGATAATCCCACTTTTTTCTTTGCATCACGGGATGGATGGTAATGTCAGTATTTGGGTTAATCGCAGTTTCGTCTTCATAGATGTGGTAAAGTGGTGCCAAGGCATCCAACCTCTCCAACTCAGCAACGGTGAAATCTGGGGGCAGAACATGTTAGCAAAGATCTGCAACCTATAGTGAGATTTACACACTTCCATAGTAAAGCCTCTGTAGCCAGCGCACATCATCGGCGAATTTTCTCTCATGATTGGTAGAATGCGGTTTCAAAGTTACTGGCGTGAGGCCGCTCTTCAATGGTATAATACCTTGAAGTTCCGGCTCGGCGAGATGGCCGTATATGTCCGCAAGCTCAGTACGAGGTATTTGCGGTCGCCAGCATGGACGAGGAGGCATGTTCAATAGTAGGGCAAGGACTGTTCGTGAGAAATTTTCAATCTAATTTAGCTATCTTGCCGATGAATATAATCGAACGCACACTACGAAAATATTTGCCGTCGCTGTAGAGAGAGAATGGACGACTGCTGTCATTCCAACCAGCACAAAGAGACAAAGAAAGCATACAACCAAGGGTTGAAATAAATATACAACAACAAGGATCAAAGACGAATTCGGCCAATGGCTACAAGTCCTTTCAGAATTGATTGCACCTAAGAAATCTCTTCGGTAAAAATTATATACTTTGAAAATATACCAGAATTTGCAAAGACCGCTTGGAATAAATTAGAAAGCTATCACATCAAAACTAAGCTCTCGCCATTTCCCACTTCCAAAAACTTAATATCTCCTACCTTTTCTACATCACCACTCTCTCCATTCTCCTCAACTTCTCTCTCCAACGCTTCCTTCAGCGTCACGGTTTTACGATTCAAGAACCAGCTCACAATACCTCCACCCACCTTGACTTCATCATGCGTACCAACCCAGTACTTTGCATTCAACAACCTCTGAACCTTCAATCCATTATGTGCCCCTTTATTCAATTGTGCTCGAGGTAACGAAATGTCCTGTAATCCATGTAGTAAAGCGAGGGTTCGGATAGGTGGTTGAGCAGTTCCCACCAATGTAAGATCCCCAGGATCGATTCCATGAGGTGTATATATCATAGCTTCAGGTATATTCTCATTGGCTTTTCCATCCGAAATAATCCTCTCCGAAAACGTCAAGAATGTAATCATGATAGCAGAATGGTAATACAGTAAATCCACACCCGCTTTCGCAACCCTCGATATACCCACCCAATCTGGTAAATGTTCTGTAGAAGATTCTCTCCAATCCCCCTCAAACCTAAGAATTTCTTCCACATGGTCAAAATGCGCCCAAGACGATATCGCCGCCGCAGCCTTCGAAGTCGCAAATACCGGAACCGTATTTGGAATCTCGAGTAAAGTTTCCTTGTGCATGTGGTCTGTGAATTCATGGCTCACTACTACCGCATCAATCCAGCTTCCATCACCTGTGATTTCTTTCTCAAGTACAACTTCCTCGATACTCTTGATGAACTCTTCAATCTCTGCGATACTTTGCACTGCGCTGGGATTGGCATGCCATTGTTGACTGAAGAAGGCAGCAACATCACTTTGACCACCGCGTAGCCATGGATCAATCAATATGTGATAATACGCTTTATTGAACGAATTTTCAGCTGCCTCAGGGTAGGGTATCGAAAGAAGCCATGTAGTGTCTGCATTCAGATGAGTGATGAGGGGTCGAGAAGTATTGAGAGTATTGCGGATAGACTCGTTGGAAGTGGCTTGAAGTAGCGCGGAGATTAAATTCATGGGTTGATCCATTTTCACTGTATTGAAAGATTATTAGTATGCAGGTTTAAGAGAAGAAGCAGTTTAGAGTTGGAGTTAGAAAAAAGGTTTTTAGCTAGGTTACATTATGGTAGTGGCGGAGGGAACACAAGAAGAAGTTACGGGGTTTCAATGACGTCTGGAATGCTAACAACATAACTGGTCCGAGCTCACCGGGTTCCCAGGATTAGGTAGATGGATGGTAGATCAAAAACCCAAAATCATCTACTCCTACCAAAGGAATTCAAATTCAAATTGATTGACTTCTACTACCTTTAAATTTCGCATTCTCAAGTACGACTATCATAGCTTTGACTCCTCAATCCTTGAACCATTAGATCGAGTTACAACTCACACGTCACATCAAATCAAATCACATCATAAATCACATGCACAACCTCAAAAACTCCAAGTCTTCTTTCAAAAGATGCTGTTTCTGTTTTCACTCTCAATTATTACAAATGATTTACCCAGGGTTCGTATCCCCCAATCCATCATCATCTTTCACCTTTCTCTCACTTCACTTTTCTCTCACTCCTCTTCTCTAATCCCCTCAAAACCCTCCCCGTTCCTCCTTCACAAAGTCTCGCTTCTCGCTTCTCAAGTCTCAAAACCCATCCCCCTCCACACGCATGCTCTATCTTTCATTCCACCTTCAATGTTGTAGACCCGCCAAATCTAGCAGTAATCTCCATCCATGAATCAAGCACACGCGTATTTCATCTCTCAAAAGGAACCCATTATTCGAGACTCCACTACCCACTATCACACCACCCAATAAGATATCCCTCTCCCCTTTCTCATCTCATTCCCCACACCACCAAATTAATAGAGAAGAGAAGGCAAAAAAAAAAAGCGAAACAACAACTTTAAAAAGCTAAAGGTAAGAGAAAAATAAACTATTCGACTACTCTTCACAATCAGACAACACAAATGCTACTCAATTCAACTCCCATAACCCCAAGATATAATCTTATCCACAGCGAAAGCAAAAATAAAAGCGAGTCAAATATCTCGTCCATCAATGATGAGACTCGCGATCCACAAGTTCAGGTCCAGGTCCAGGTTGAAATCGAGTTGAGCTCGAGAAGATATAACAAGCGAACCATATGATGAAATGCAAGAGAACGCCTGCCCCACACTCCACCTCCAACCTCCCGCACCAAAATCCAGCAGGCCCGCCAAGCCGTTCTAGAGAAATGAAAGCAAAGCTTGCTGTCAATCAGACCAAAAGCTGAATCGCAAGTTCCCGGTGCTTTCGCTGAAAGCTTTTGCATAAATCCAGAATTGAACAAAGTTTTTATCGTGTATATGTCGAAGCGATATCATTTAAAAGAATTATCATCTCCAAACGACTTTCACTCTCCACGAGCCTTTCCACGTCTTCGGAAAAAGTCCATGACTTTTCTGGCTGCACCACTACTACCACCATGATCATTGTGTGCATGTTCTTGATCATAAGCATCGGCAAACTTGCGGTTATTCTTCTGTAGTACGCCTCTACCATTATTGCGTCCTGATGGTCGTCGCGAGTCTTCGTATGAGTTATTGTTGTCATTCTGATATGGACCACGTCGACTTTGGCCAAATGAAGATTCAGAATCAGTCGTCAATGCAGATTCATCTTGGCGGAAGTTTGCAGGCGGTAAGAATTGTGGTGGGCCACCCATCCTAGAATCTGGATTCTGCTGTTGTGGTTGAGCAAAACGTTGTCTTTCTTGTTGTGCTGGACTAGCGTGGTTTTGATCATATGCCGCATCCGCATGCTGATATTCAGCTGTACTTCCACTAACATTTCTATTGTCCTGTGACGCGTCAAGATGATTACCTTGCATCTCAGGATATGGCTCATAGTGACCATCGGTTGGGGTGCTAGCAGGTGGGGTATTTGGGTCTTTACCGATACCAATAGATTTTAAAGAGAACGATGCCGGGAGAAGCGAAAATCTTCTCGAAGCTTTCTCCTGAGAACCTGTCGTGGATCGCCCAGCTATACTTCCACTTCTCTTCTTGCCAAACCCAAACGATATGGAGCGTCTAGAGTCTATCGACTGTCTGGAGTCATCGGTATTTATGATATTGGCATTTGACATGCTGACTGGAGGATATGACTTCTTTGGTTTTTCTGAAGATTTCTCAGCGTGTGATTTCCCACCAAAAAGCGAATTGGTTCTGCTAAATATGCCACCGATCGTGTTTGATCTCTTGTGAGTCTTGCTACCCTCAGATGGTACATTTGCAGTTCCTGCTGGAAGTCCTGCGACTCTAGCGAATTTTGGAGCGATAGGTTGAGAAGTGGATTGAGGAGGATACTCAAAGGTTTGTTCGCCTTGAATCATAGGAGGGGATATATTGTAACTATTCGAGCTCTTTGGTTGAGGTTGAGACATACGGCCATGAGCATTAGTTCCAGCGACGGTTGGGGCCACAGGTTGGCTATAAGATCCACGAGTTGGGAAGCCCATAGATCCAGATCTATTAGAAGTCATGGAACCACCGGTAGTTGGTCTTGTGATTGATGGTTGGCCAGTCACTGGGGTCGAATAGTTAATGTCTGAAGCTGCGCGGTGATCCCGAGTAGGTCGAGGAGGTGGAACCATACCTTGTTGTCGCTGTGAGCTTCCCGTTCGTCTTGCCGAGGCTGCATGTTGGGCTTCTCTTGTCATTGAAGGATCCTGAGGCGATGACTCATCTCCTGCAGGGACATTTCTTCTCGAACCTTGAGCTCCAGAAATCTCGACTGGGCCTTGGCTGCCAGCACGAGCGCGCGTTCTCGAACCAGATTGAGCACCGGACGAGTTGGTAGAAGGCTCGCCCCTTTGTGTTTGTGATCTCGGAGCCACATACTCGACCTGTACAGTTCGTCTCTTGTTATCCTTTGAAGTTTTGGGAGGTGCCTCTTCTCCGTCTTGATCCACATGCCCATGTTTCCTGCTGAGATCCCCAACGGCTGCGGGTGCCTTTTGTGATTTGGGTTCCCGAACCGAAGCACTTCTAGCAAGTAGAGGAGCTTCTTGAGGTTCATCAGATGGCACGGTAGTATTGGCAATTTCTACAGTAGTCGTTGTGCTGCTAGTAATGAAGCCAACGACATGCGCATATTCGCTCAACCAACTGTGACGGGCAACTTCAAATAGATCTGCACGCTTGCGTGGGTCTGGAACGAGAATACGTCGGAGAAGGTCTCGAGCGTGCGGTGTAACATATTCTGGAAAGGTGAGTGGTGTCGAAACTATATATTTGTAGAGAAGGTTAATGTTGTCGCCCTCAGGATTGGCTGGATCATCATCGAAAGGTAGATATCCTGCAAGCATAGCATACTGAATTTATGTTAGTGGTGCAACTATCAACAGGTGCAAAAATCAAGACTTACTAATATTACTCCGCAACTCCACACATCGACCTTGCGGCCGGTGTATAGCGAATCACTCACGACCAATTCTGGAGCTGCATAGCACGGACTGCCACAACTTGTCTGCATCAAATCTCCTCTCCGCGAGCCGCCAGGTAAAATCTTATCCAACTCCATACGCTTGACGTAGTCACGACTAGTTAAGTTGTACTCGATTTCGTCTCCAAGCTCATCGTCTGGGTTAA